AGCACGTGTCTTCACATGTCCAGTGCGAGGCGCCTGACAAGCACAGATGTCAGATGAAACCCCCCCAGGGCCTGGGTTTGCTTTGCCACTGGCAGGAAAGGCCTCTTCGAGAAACCCCCGTCAATTTCTGGACAGTTTTGCAAAACACAGTAAATAAGCGTGGGTCCCACGCCTGGCGTCATCCCTGCATATCTAAGAAGTGGAGAAATATGGGACATCTAGAATTACGAGCTCCCGCACACATGGGCTGGCTCAGTGGCCTCGGCTGTACAGCTGTCCTCTCCTGACCCGGGCTTAATCTCTCCCTAATGAATTTTCTCTTGATATCACAAACAGATGGCTCAACCGGAGAGTGAGCACAGTCCCAAATCTGACAGCGTGACTCTGTAGACACAGGAAAATATGGGTTTTGTTTTGGTTTTGGCCTTAAAAAAAGAGAGAGAGAGAGAGTCAGAAGTGTCATGAATACAATAGCGCCTTTGGGTCTCTCCAGGCCTTACCAAAAATAGCCTGGCTTTTCCAGGACCTGGACCTTGCTCTTCGGGTGTTCTTGGTGGCATTTGCAGTATGCTTTCTGCCCATCCTGAGGGACATCTGAGAGCTGTAGCTGCATAGTGAGGAGGTGCATGAGTCATATATCTCCCTGACCCCGGGGCTTCCACCATGCACTGTGCTTTAGGGAGCTCACCAGGCCTCAGTTGAAAGTGGGGAGCCCGGAGCCTCTTTCTTGAAACTTCAACTCCTTTTCCAGGGGAAGAGAATAAAATGCACCCTCCCCTAGGTATAGTTACTATATAATGATCGGCACACTCAGAGGTGCTTGTTAAAGGCAAGTCTCTGGGCAGAAAGGAAAGTTTGGATTCCATACAAAATGTTCTATGATCCTAAATATCCATCGAGTATTGGGTGGGATGGAGCAGACACAAGACTCACAGACTCCAGGAAGGTGGAGAGAGACCTCGAAGAAGTTCTGTTCCCGTGGCTCTCCAACCTGGCTGCATAGGAGAACCACCTGGGGAGTTTCAAAGACGCTGATCTGGCTCTCCGCCCAGACACGGAATCACAGGCGTGGGGTCCTGGCATGAGTTCTTGGTTTTCTTTCATTTATTTACTTATTTTTTTAGTTCCCATATTATGCAATTTTGATGCTCAGGGGCTCTTGAGTGTAATAAGACTGAAATCTAGTCTCCTCCACTAGAGTGTCCCAAACTTGAGTATGGACATGGATCACTTGATGAGACTCTCGTTAAAGTATAGATTATGATTCAAAGGTCAGGGATGGACCTGAGATTCTGCATTGCTTGAAACGAGTCCGAGTAAAGCAGATATTGCTGATGGCCCTTTGATGGCATCAGACCCTGACACTAGTCCTATAAATAGATGAGTCGCATGCCTATTGACCTTTGGTCTTTCTAACATCAAGATTAGAAAGCCAGTGTGGGAGGGCAGTTGTATGGGGATGACCCGTGCTTTTTATCCTGATTTGGGGGCTTAATTGCTGTGTAATCTTTAGCAAATCACTTCACCTCTCTGATTTCCTTGGGCGTTAAAATAAAAAGGCGTCTAATATGTTTGATGAGATGTGTGACATTTTCCTGTAAATGGTAAAGCACAATAAAGTATAAAAGCTTATTATCAAATTGTCTTTTGAAAGATACCAATATTAGCTTAGAAAATGTAGGTCATTTATATGTACAATCTCATTTCTGTACTCCTTGATTTCTGCTAACAGGAGCATGTGTAGGTGGGCACACACACATAGCTGAGGTTTACTCCTAAATCTCTATGTATATGTGAGCAGGTGTGTGGTGTGTGTGTGTTCTTGCCCCACTGCCTGGGATGGAGGCACTTTAACCAGGAAGATTCAAGTATGCAGAGCAAATGTTCAGGGGCAGCAGCCAAATTGGTAGCTTCTCTTGCTCCCTTCCACAGCAGGAGCATGCTCCTGGCCAAAACAAGATGGCAGCCTGCCCTGGCCAGTTCCATCTCCATGTTCTCCGTGGTTGTGCTTCCTGGCTGAGGTGGGTACAGGAGCAGTGTCCCCTGTGGAGTCTATCCAGGGAGATTGTCTCCCAGGACCCTAACTCTTCTTGAGGGTTGAGCCCCCAGTTCACATGGCCATGTCTGGCCAATACCAGCCATGCCATCCGTGTACGTTCATTCCCCAAAGAAACGAAACCCTCAACACATTCTTGAACCGCTCTCTGGAAGCTGCTGCCGAGGTTGCGCAAACACATTTGGCACATGCTTCGGGGACCAAGCAGTTCTCTGGGTTGAATCGCAGAAACAAAATGTACTTGTCCTACTTCCGAGTTGGTGTCTGAGGACTTGGCTCCCTCTGCCAGGGAACGGCCTCCTCACTGATGTCATCCTGCCGTTGGAAGGCAAACATCTTTGGGTTCAGCAGTTCAGGACCAGGAATGAGGGGAGACGGGGAAGCAAAGAGAACACACCCCAGCTTGTGGGAAACACACACACACACACACACACACACACACGGATTCTTCCAGCTGAATTACCTTAAAATGAGAAGTACTGGCACAGTTCATGGGGAGGGGCCACCCAGCTGCAAGACCCTCAGGCAAGTTTACTAGTGACAAAGCCACCCTCATGAGGTGGGGTTTTACGGGGGACTCCAACTGCTGCCACACGCCTGCAAGAGCACCAGCTCCCAGAGGCCCAGGGCGATATTTGACACCCAAACTTAGGGATGAAATAATTTCCAAGTAGCACCTGGTCCTCCCTTTCAAGTCCCTGTGTAATATCGCAGACATCCAGGGACTGCACTTTTTCGGCCAGACTGAGGCGGATCCTGCTGGACTTGAGTACATTTCTCAACTTTAGGTTATCTCAGCACACAAAGTCCTGAGGTTGCTCTGGGTTCCTCAGAGGGTCATTCTGCAGAAGCAGTTTCTTTCATTTGGGAAAAAAAAAGAAGAAGAAGAAGAAGAAGTTTATCTTTTCCACATCCATATTTTTCACTTATAAAATCTGGAATATATATGACCAGATCAGACCTCCCTAGTGCCTAACGTTCCAGATCCCAGACTCCAGGGGGGTATGTAGCCAAAGGAGAAGCCACCATCATGAAAGCAGTTCTTGTGGTCAGGAGAGTCAGATGCCCCTGAGATGCCAATGTTTGCATAAAGTCTTTAAAGCAGAGGAAGATTCCTTTCCTTAAGGACCGATCAACAGTTTGGAGGCTTGTCCTTGGCGGCCCACCAGATTCCCTTTAAAGCATTCGTCAAGTTGCAATACCTGGGACCTTCACCAAAGTGTGACTTGGACAGTGAAGGGTGCCCCGCTTCAGTATTTATAAAGGACCCTCCAGTGATTCTCATGCCAGCTGGGACTGAGAAACTACTCTTCATTCGGAAACACTTTTTCCTAGTGAATATTTTAGGCCCCCAATTCAAGAGTCTTGATTGAGGTCACACAGGTCACTAGGGACAGCCCAGCTATGTCAGCTGCGGGGCCAGATACACTGGCGGATATCACTCCAGGGAAGCAGAAGTATGTGATTTTTATAGATGGACACTCCAGGGGGTGGGAGTCATCTTACAAATAGTAAAGAGGGAGGCTGCTGGAACCAGCCTCTCCTGGCCTGCTTGCTGAAAGAATTAATTAATTAACTAATCAATTAATTAATCTGAATTTTAGTTCTGCTCCCCTACTGTGAGCCTTGACAAACCACTGAACTTCTCAAAACTTGTTTCTTGGGATATAAGATAGGGGTGGGTGGTGTCTGGGGTGAGGAGAGGGTAATAGCAATAACTTCCTCCTGGAATTGTGAGCTTTCAATGAAATAATGTCCATAAAATGCCTAGCACAGTGCTTGGCATATAAATGCTTGATTATGTGTACTATTGTGACCATCAGGGTCACAGATGTACTGATACAAGCCCTCAGGCTTCATGGTATTAATTTCTGAAGCCAGAAGCATATCACATGTAAGAGGTGGGGTGCGGTTGGCCTACAAAGACACTCAGCCATAAACACACAGGGACGAAGACACCACAGTCCAAAAAGACACACCCTTTCTTGACTTCCAAGATGATTTACGGGTTTCAAGTTCAACCACTTTGCTTGGAATGAAGTTCCCAGTCCTTGTTCCATTTGGGACCCTTTCATGCAGTCTCTGTGTTCATCAGGCATGGGAATAGAAAATGGAAACTTTGATCCTTTATCCCTCCAGAAAAAAAAAAACTGAACACTGTAGGTCATGAGGATTTCCCACCCCAAGAACCCACATCAAATCCCAAGCTGCAACACAAGAAAAAATAATTAGGACTAGAAAATCCCTCTGCAAAACCTCCTCCTGATTTCAGTATCTATATTATAGACTATTTTAGTCAGCTTTTTCACTGCTGTGACCAAAAGACCAGACAGGAACAATTTCACAGGAGGAAAACTTGATTAGAGCTCACGGTTTCAGGGGTCTCAGTCCATAGACAGCTGGCTCCATTGCTATAGGCCCCAGGTGTGGCAGAATATCATGGCAGAAGAGTGTGGCGGAGGAAAGTGACTCAGGACATGGCCTCTAGGAAGCAGAGAGAGCTGTGCTCAACAAGGACAAAATATATATCCCAAAGACACACTCTAATGATCCACCTCCTCCAGCCACACCGACCTGCTGTCAGGTACCACTCTGTTAATCCCTATCAGGGGACTAATGCCCTCATTAGGGTAAGGCTTTCATAACCCAATCCTTCTACTTCCAAACTTTCTTATATTTTCTAACACATGGGCTTTGGGGGACACCTTTTATCTAAACCATAACACTGACTCCATCATTTCTAATTCAGCTTTATTCAAAATTTTACTTTCCATGCATTTCCTGGGAGCTTGTTACACATGCAGAATCTCAGGTCTTACCCTAGACCTATGGAACTAGAATCTGCATTAAACAAGATCTCCAGGCAATTCGTGTGCACACTTAAATTGAAAAGTGCTAGGCTGATATTCTCCTTCCCAGGTTCTGCCTGTTCTCCTGTGCTCTGTGGTACTGCCTGATTAACTCACTGAAGTGCTGCTTCATTCCACTTCCAAGTTCAAGACCTTCAGCCTTCTCTATTGACTACCAAACCAGGTGATGCTAATATTTTATATGTGTGCATACAGGGTTTTCAAATAAATAATAGAGCCTTTTTACTTAGCATTTTTATCTAATGTCGCATATAATCTAGCAACAATTTTATGGTGAAACCCCAAATATCACAAAGCCAATCATGTTGTATTAGCATTTTCCAGAGAAACAGAATCATAGGAGATATATAGGCAGCCATAGGATATAGATATAGACATGCAGATATATATGGGTAATATAGAGACCAAGAGACACAGAGAGAATGATTTATTATAGGAATTGGCTTATACGGTTAATAGAGGCCATGAAGTCTTGCCATCTGCTATGGTAAGCTAGGGAATCATGAAAGCCAGTAGTGTAATACAACTTGGATCTAAAGAACCTATGAACCAGGAAAATCCAATGGTATAAGTCCAAGTCCAATCTACAGGGGTCTGGGGGAGAGGCAAGGTCCCCAGGCAGGCATGAGAAGATGAATGTCCCAGCTCAAACAGGAAGATCCACTTTTCCTCCACCATTTTGTCCTATTTAGACCTTCTATTTTGTTCTATTTAGACCTTCTTTGGGTTGAATGAGACCCACCTACTTTGAGGGGCCCATCTTCTTTACTCAATCTCCTGATTCAAGTGCTGATCTCTTCCACAAACTTCCCCATGGACCCACCTAGGAAAAAGAAAATGTTTTACCAGCAATGTGGGAATCCCTCAGCCTAGTCAAATGAGCATGTATGATTCACTATTGCAAGTATGTCTGCATCCCATCAAGCACCTTATTCAAGCCTCCACCATTCCCGTCCTAACTTACCACAACAGTCTCCTATCTGGTCCTCTCCTCTTGTTCTTGTCGCACTACAATTCTCTGCTCACAGAATAAACTGAATTGTCTCCTTTTCCTACTTTAAACCAGCCAGTGCTTCTTATTGCTCTTGGAATGAAAAATGAACTTCTTTCTCTGGAGCACATGATCTAATCTGAGCCATCCTGACCACCTTAAGGAACCTGTTCCTTCCTCTTCCTTCTTCTGCTCCCCTTCCACACTGGCCTTTCCACCAATCCTTGCATATGGGGTTGCTGTTGCCTCTTTCTGGATCTCTAGTCCCCAGGTCTTCATGCTTTTGCTTTATCTCCACCAGTTGTCCACTCTCCCATGAAGCCTGCCCTGACCGCCATATCTAAAGTATGGAACCCCAGCTCTCCTACCCCTGGCTCATTATTCTTTACCCACTTGTCAGTTCTTCCCCTTCATAGCAATTATCACTATCTGAAATTATCTTATTTCCTTTGGGCTGGTCTGTGCATGTAGTACCAAGCTCTCTGCACCAACATGTCAACTCTTGGAAAACAGAGCCCTGTATGACTAGCTCCCTCAGTAACCCTAGGACCTGGCCACTGGATTAATGTTTCTTGCAAAAATTAATGATAAACATCATTTCATTTATTTTGAACCTCACTGTAATCCTATGACCACTAGTCCAGACATAACCCCACCACTTTATTGAGGAACCTCCAAGTATTTAATGATTTGCCCAGAGTTAGTCATCTAGTAAATCATAACATTGTAACTTGACTCAGATCTTCTCACTCCAAAATTTATGGCTTTCTCTATGTATCATACTCCCTTTCACGTCAATTATTAAGCCAGATATTTCAGGACATCTATGATCTCTACCCAATTTATTATTTCTCATCTTTCTCTAAAATGATTTTTCAACATATTCCCATATTACAACTAAGCTCTCTGCTTACTTTTCCCTGAACATATATGCCCCACACTTTCCCGAATCTCTTTTCTTGCTCCTGCTAGACTGGTTACCCACAACATTTCCCTTTCTCTTAATCTCTCATGTATGTTGAAATCATACCTCTCTTGGAAGTTCCATAGAATATAGTCTCCCCTGCACAAAGAGTATAGAACCCAACATACGCTTTCTCCAGCCTAGATTCTTAGAAACTCCAACCCCTCTTTTTAACTTTCCTTGTAATACAACATGGTAATCCATTTTTATTTATGGGTATGTGGTACATTTATGGTTACACTCACTCACTTCACCAGCCAGGATGGACTGGTTCGTATTTAAAAGGCAAGGCAGGCAACTGGGTCAGTGGCCACTTTGGGCGACCCACTTTTAATCAGCTGAAAGAGGTGCCAGTTCTTCGGTGCAGTGGCTTATCCATCTACTTAGAAAACTTAGAATCATCTATTTGGGGGCTTTATCACAAACTCAATGGTTTGTAGAACAAGGATTTAACAGGTTAGGAAAGATAAAAATATTATATCGAAATCACAAAAATAACAAGGCCAAGGCAGACAGTGTATTGATTCATTAATTAATTCATTCAGCAAGGGTTTACTGAGCACCTACCAAGTGCTAGAGGATATATCCATGAACAAAACAAAATCACTTGGAACTGAGTGACACTGAGATGAGAGAGAAAGCGCATGCACAGGATGAGGGAGATTTGAGCACTGGTGTGAAAGAGCTATATGTTCCCCCAAAATAGGCATTTCTCTGGAAGTGCCTTGACATACATCAGAAGGGCCACAGCAAGGGATGGGACCAATGCTTCCAAACAAAAGCAGGTATACCTACAACCACAAAGAGCCGCTCAAACACACCACACAGTGACACCATAGCTCAGGTCCCTGATGTGCCTACTCAACCATACAGTAAATAAGTATTTTCTAAAATGTAATTTTTTCCAACCAGAGAAAAGATTTCATTGAATGTCATTTAAAATAGATTTTCATTTCATGTCATTTAATTGACTTAAAAAGCAATGGCCATAAATTCCATTTAATAGGCGGTTCCACTGGGGAGGACTGGTCGGGCAACTGTCAATTAGGTGTTGCATAAAAAGATGCAAATGTCTCATAAAAGTGATGGAAGGTCATATTATTGCATTAACCATGTCGCTCTTGCCACGCTGTTACACACCGTAGAATAATAACCGACGCATTTAACAGGTGGAAATCATTCTGAATGTGCTTTTAAACTGTGTGTAAATGCAAACTGTCTTGAATGTGTTCTTAGCACCTTTGTCAGACACTTTCAAATCCTCAAGTGCTGGGGAAAATAATTGATAGGCAAGGTTTCGGACAGAATAGGTGATGGGCTCTACCAAGACATTTTCCAATATGAGATGTTTTAACCGCTGGTGCTTTTTGAAAGCAGGGTTGTCAAATCTATAAAAATACAGACCTGATTTATCCCATCCATAAAGACTTCTAATGGTGCCATGCTTCAACCTCTGATTTTTCCCCAGCTTCTGAGGTACAGGATTTCAAAATGTCAGCAAAAAGCTCTGGCAGGAGATGCACAGGAGGAATACGAAGCAGATGTGAAAGAGTCGGAGGCAGAGAGAGTGAGGACTGAGAACTGTGGACGGTGCTGGACTCAAATGAGAGGAGAGGATGGGTTGAGGATGCCCCCAATAACTCAATCAAAATAACAGCCAACCAGAAAAATCAGAATCAATGCTGATAACTTCACATTTTAAAGTGAATTTAAGAGTCATGAATGAGGGAATTCGCTGGCAAATACAACTTCACTTTGTGCCCCCCAAAACTTGGTTGGCTGGAGCTCCTCATTGAGATACCATTGACAATCCTGCTAGATTCAAATGAAACAGCTTGTTGGCAGAGGAAGCAGAGGCCCACTACATATTAAGGAGAAATACAGGGCTGGGGCTGGGATCAGTGGTAGAGTGTTTGCCTCACACATGTGAGGCACTGGGTTCGATCCTCAGCACCATGTAAGAAATAAGTGAATAAATAAAGACATTGTGTCCATCTGCAGCTAATAAATAAATAAATATGAAGAAGAAATACACCTCTGAGAATATTCTTCATCCCTTAGGCAAAGGCATGCAAGAATGTATGTAAAACAAAATGGAGAATAGGGACAGAAATGACAAAAATCCATGCTTTTATGGGATGGGAGAGAGTTAAATAAGCAAAACACAATACCTTGAAAAGGAGAGCTACAAAGAAAAATAAAGCAGGGAATGAGCTTCAGGGGCACGGGGATGGGGGTTGCTAATTGAAATTGGGTTGCATCAGGAGCCTCGGCGAGAGGGCAGCCTCTGGGCAGAGGACAGAGGAGCTGAGGGAGTCGGCCACGGTAATATCTGAAGAAAGGGCAGAAAGAACAGCAGGTGCAGAAGCATAACCTGTCGGGCACTCTGGGACACAACAGAAGAGCTGGCGTGGCTGGAACAGGACGGGAAACCTGAGTAGCACCAGAAGCTGAGGTGGGGCAGGACAGATCACGAAGAGCCATTTAGGTTGGGTAAGGACTCCTCTGGCCATGGGAGGGTTCTGAGCAGGGGAAAGGCTTCAGTGTTGAGAGCAGGCTGAGGTGACAAGGGTAGAAGCAGGGGGACCAGTGAGGTAGGTAGCTGATGTAAAAAAAATGCAGGGAGGGACGCTGGCGGCAGGGACCAGTGGGGTTGTGATGGATGGGAAGTAGCTGGGTTCTGAATATTTAAGGGAAATCAACAGACTCTACCAATGGATTGGCAATGGGGGCTGAGAGAGAGGGACAAAAAGAAGAAGAATTCAAAATTGTTGCTTGTGCATTGGAAAGAATGGAATTGCTTTTACTGGGCTAGAGAAGATCTTAAGTATATCAGAGTTGGAGACAGAACTAGCCAAAGTTTGATTCTGATTTTTGAAAGTTTGGTATGTGTAACATGCATTCAAGTGAAGAGCTTGTTTAGCTGGTTCCATGTAAGAGACTGGAGCCTTCACAAGAGGCCAGGCTGGAGACGCAAACTTAGGAGTTGTGAGCACATCCGTGGTTGGTAAAACCATGAGACCTTAACCTAGGCAGTGATCTGGATAAAGCAGAGGTCCAAGGTTTCAGCCCTACTGCTTCAGTGCTTAGCAGAGTGAAGGAAATCCAAAAGGAGTAAGCAGTGAGGTAGGAAGAAGTTAGAGGAATATGGCGACCTCAAAGGCTAGTGAAGAAAATGAACCAAGAAGAACATGAATCCAAAACATCATTGAAGTAGTCAGCAGACTCCAAGGAGAGAATGTGTAGAGAAATGGTTTGCTAAGGGACTCACAGCCTTGTGACCTCCTTCCATAAACATCCAACAACTCCTCCCACTTCCTCTGGATTCCTCTTTCACAAGAAAATAGAGGCAGTAAGCAGCTTTTCTTATGCCACATATGAAGGGAACCACATCTTCCCCTGCAATCCAATGGTGCCCACGCACTCTGCTGCCCCTTATGTTAATGCGGGTGCACGTCTTCATTCCTATCTGAACCCTCTCAAATGGTTGGTGGTAGGGATGGGATGGAGTACTTAGTAAAGAGAGGGAGGAAGAAAATGAATCAAGATGTTAACAGTAGTTGAATCTAGGTGAAGAGTATATAGATGTTCGTTGCGAATTGTTGTTTTTTGTTTTCAAAATAAAATCTAGAGGAAATATATGCCAGCTCAATGCTTACCATAAGATATAATTTTAAATGCCATTCTTTCATCTTTAATGATTACTTACCAAAATGCATAGTTTTTACTAAACATCTACTAATTAATTATTGTAAGGATACCTAACATTTTTAAAAAATCAAACACTTAGAGCATTATAATCAGGACATTTGAATCATTTTTAATTTAACCATATTTTTTGTTGCAGTAAAGTATAACAGAGTAAACA